TCTAAAAAATCAGTGTTTGAACTGGTGTTGCAGAAAGTCTATGAAGCCTCCCTTTTGGACATGAACCTTCTCACATATACATTTAATTATGTACAAATATGGCGTGTTCTGGGCCTGGGAAAGAGTGACTTCAGCAGCCAGGTATGTGTCTGAAGAATTGGTTTCTGGGCGAGGTGCTTTGTGACTATTCTTGGGCTGGAAATTTTTCTCTCACTTGAAATTAATGTTCTCCAAGACTAAGATGGGTAAATTTACAATTGCAAATATCTTTTAAACTTTGCTCATGTTTGCCAGACTTGAGCCGCTGAGAATCTCAAAAGTGGATTTATTCAAATCTACATGCCAGCAAAGCCCTTCCACTGCATCTTTTGGTGGTGCACACATTTGCCTATGCATTGTCCTTACGTATTTGTAAAAGAGCTTCCTACAGTTTCCTTTTGAAAGTGTGGCTATTTAGAAAGGAAGGCCTTGGAACAGCACTGTGGGTTTAATGTTTCAATGACTATAAGAGAATTGCTACATGGGTGGATCTCCATATGCATGAAGCCTATTTCACATGCTGAGAAAGAGCTTTACTTGACAGGCAAAGCTCAGTTCCTAGGTTTATTGGACCTTAACTGTAGTTCATTCATAGGTATAAGAGTACAGATTTCTTGCACATCAGTGTACTATAAAGTATAATGCTTGCATTCACAGTAAAACATGATCAGCTCTCTTTCTTGTGCTTGACGTACACAATTAGCACCTCAGAAGCTTTATGTGCATCTTTTAAGAAAGAAAAAATCTATAGGAGTTGACATTTTTACTGTTTAGTTTCACAAGGTGTCATGGACATTTTCTGGAGAGATGCAGCAGCCCTGAGCATGCTTTCTGTCTCCAGTATGGACTTAATTTTGGCTTCTCTTTGGGCATTATCTTGGCCTCCCTGGAGCAGGCATTCCTGAGATTCCTCTGCGTTTTCTCCTGACTTGGGATTGCCATCCTGTCCAACTTTGCTTGCCTTGCCTCCTTTGTGTGGTCATGTGAGCTTTATGGGACGAATAGGAGAGCATGCAAAGTACTTAAACACAGGGAGAAGAGTATAAAATCAGAAGGGAGTTTTTTTTTGTTGTTGTTGTTTTGTTTTGTTTTGTTTTTTTTCCATGAAACTGATAAATTTTTAGATCATTCCTGATGGGACAGTTCCTTTTAAATTCTATGTAAGTTTTGCTTTAAAACAGTAGACAGAATTTTTTTTTTAAAGTTTTAATCATAACCAATCAAAAAATGTAATGACTAAGTATTGTTATGTTCAATGGCAAATTACTCCTATCATTGGTAGTCAGACAAATCATAACTAATAAATGTAAGGATTTGTTTTATTTATTTATTTGTTGAAACCAGGGATTGAACTCAGGCCTTTGTGCTTGCCAGGCAAGCACTTATTCTACTGAGCTATCTCCCCAGGCCCCAAGGGATCTGGTACCATTGGGTACTGTTGTTGATGTAAAACCAGCACTGTTTCTCAGCAAAAGCAATAAGACCAGATCAAATATCATTCCTAATTAGACCTTGTTAAAGTTCTTTTAAATTACTGCTTTACCTCCACATGCATGATGGTTTGTTTCCCATAAACCTTCACAACACATATGTATTTTTATTCAAAGTGTTAAACCAGATAAAAACAAAAGCAGAAACAAGCCTCTATGTGAATTTGGTTTATCCTGAAAAATCTGTTTCATCTTAAAATCAAACCAGATTCTACAATTTGCAGATATTTGCATATACCCACTAAGCCCAGAGCCTAAATCTCCAGCCTTTCTAAGAGGGCTGCACACAAACCCAGACAGATCCCTTTTGTGGCCATTAAATGGCTAGGGAGGGAAAACTCCATCCACAAAGGGTGGGGCATTCTCTATAAGCCACCTTGTAACCTGAATATTGAAATCATACCTTTGGGTTTTCATAGCCCTTGCAATTTTAAGTACACTTTTACTCTTTTGGATTTCCTCAGCCACCTTCCTAATCTTTGTATTCAGAAAAGATGGGCTCCAATGTCTCCAGTGCCATATTAATAGTGAGCGTGCTCACATGCACCGCTCTGTCCTGGAGGAGTGAGGCACCTGGAGAGGCTGACCCTCAAGTCCAGGCTAGCTGAAGGCTGGAAGATAACCAAAAGGTTGTTTCTCCAGGTGAATAGTTTCCCAAAAAGTAGATTTGCAAGGTCTGGTCAGGCTTTTGATAATCTTAAATGTTGACAGTTCCAACCATATAGGTAGGGGTCATTGCATCACTTACTAACTTTGAGGAGAGGAGGAAACCCCTTTCCAGCATTTGGATTTCCATTCTTTGGTCTTGAGTTTTCTGTTTGGCAAGAGATGTTCAAATGCTTACCGAAGGAGGTAAATTATAGGGACACTTTGATTTTTGTATTCATCAAGGTAATTTCTGATGCTTTCCAAAGAATGTTTAAGTGGGTGAACAATTTTTGAGTAGTTCTCACTGCTTCACTTTCCTTTAAGTAGCTAAAAAGATAGCAACAGCTTGTCATTTTGGGCAACAGCCTCATTCTGATGTATCTTAATATTTAAAATGAGTTGACTTTGTAAACTCTATAAACCTTGGGAAACGAGCTTTCATTTGTCAGGCTCTGCTATAGGAGGATCCTGATGTCAAACATGAGTAGGAAGCTGGTGACCAAAACAGAACCTGCTTTGGTCATTTTTTCTTAATCAAACTTTATTCCTGATTCCTACAACATTTCCCTTTTTTCTTGACATACCTGGCATGTTGCTTTCCATCTCTAGAGTGATGAATAAGAAAGCAACAGTACACTGTGGGGTTCTGCATTGAATGCTAGGGACCCAGAATGCACAGTGAACACAGAATGGCAACATACCAAGACAGTAACCTGTAGGTTGTACAAGAAGGCCCCTAAATTTTTTATTTTGATAGAAATGCAGAAGATTATCTTAAAAACTTCTTTCTCTTCTTGACTTTAACTATTGAGATTTTTTTTTTTTTTTTTTTTTTTTAATGTAAGAGGGGACAATATACCTGTCTTAGTTACTCTTCTCTCCTTGCTGGAACAAATAACTGACACTCAAAATGAAGGAAGGAAAAGGTTTATTTCACTCACAGTTAGTGGAGGATTCAGTCCATATTTAGCGGGCTCCAGGGCAGAGTGGTGCAAAACAGAGAACAGTCTTTCAAGTCAGAGGAAAAGAGCAAGAGTGCAAAAGGTGTAGCAGCAGCTCAAGCAGCTAACTTCTCTTTCCTCCTTACATTGAAATGCAAATTACCTGCCCCAGAGCAGGTGCAACATCCACACCCACAATAATCAATCACAAACTCCAAAAGCCACCCCAAGACTGCATGAGACTTTGGGGGGACAACTATGCACAAACCATAACAATACACTATTTTTCTGTTGAAATGGAAAATGGGGTCAAAATGAAATAATTTCCAGAAACTTTGGTTTGTTACATTTTCTTTAATTAGAAATCAAGGGGGCCCAGCCCTAGCTCAGTTCTTTAAGTGACTGCTTCCACAATGCTGGCAGCCTCAGTTTGCTGTAGTTCGATCCCCACAACACTCCAGCCATGCAAAAGTGCCCTGAAGGCATTCAAGGAACAAAACACACACACACACAAAAAAAAAAAAAAAAAAATCCTTTAATTAGAAATCAAAAAAGAAGGGTCAGTCAGATAGCCCTGGGGACTAAATCTCCTGCTTAGAGTGCAGCAGCCAGGGCTCGACCCCCGATCTGCCCTGCCAGCCCTGCCCACACAGGCCGCACTGAGGTGATGACTGAGACTGGGCGTGGTGGTGCACACGTGTAATCTCAGCACTTGGGAAGATGGAGACAAGAGAATCACTACGAGTCCAGTCTACCTACTAAGACCCTATAGACCTTGTCCTAAATACAGAAAGAAAAAAAAAATTTAAAAATACATGTATTTGCCTAGGAAAATGATTTTTCTGTTATGTTTGTGAAATATCTCTGTACCTAAAATGAATACTGGAAAAAGCAGCAATTGGCAAAGTTGTCTTTAATTTTATAGCTATACTATGTCATAATTATGAGCCTCATGAAGTTAATCATCCTTCAGAATTCTTAAAGGAGTAGAAGAAACTTCCTAGGAGAGTAGATAATTTCTGTAACTAAATTATTGTTTGGTTATTTGAGCTTTTAGTGTAGCCAGGGTTTGATACAGGCTAGGATCCTTGGATCGCGCTGTGGTATCCCTTTAAAAGTAGAACTATATAATAAAAAGTACATAATTACCATGGCATTGGTTACATTCATGAGGTTTGGGGATAAGTTTAAATAAGTAAATTTGAGGTGAAAGGCTTGACCAAACGTATAACTTGGAGATAGGGTGACAATGAAGTGGGTCACCATGGCTCTCTTTGCAAGGCTGAAACTCCTCTCTTTTTCCCTCTATCCTCTCCAGCCCTACTACTGGATGGACCTTGTTTTGGTCTCATTCCTAAGCTGTGGCTCAGTTTGTGGTGTTCAGCCTCTAGCAACAGAGTTCACACTTCTACAATAACCCTCATTAATGCTCACTGAGCCTTTAAGAAATGCCAGGTGTTTCCTGGATTTATTTAATGCCAGGCAGTATGTTGTTCTTATTTTCATTTAATGAATGAAGAGTCAGAGGCAGTCTTACAGATGGTTGGCTTCCTCCCCCTTTGGTGATGGAGGAAGATTTGCACTCAAGATTGCTTGGCCCAGGTGCTTTTCTGTTTCAACCTCCCAACCCTAGTCTTTGAACTTTGCCTTAAGACCCTGGTCCTCCTCCAGGTCAGATCTGTGTAAGGTACCATTTATCTTCTGGAAAAAATGAATGCATTGCCAGCCTGGCTTTTGTATGTTTGCATTTCTTTTCTAAGAATTAAAGGAAGCAGGGGTGGGACTGCAATGGGACAGTGAAGAGATTTATTTCAATGTGGAGGAGTTATTGCATGACAAAGGGACATAGATGTTAACTTTTGCATTTATTCATTTCTCTTAGGTTCCCCATATTATGACAACGTTCGTCCCCTCTCATACCCAGATTCAGATGCTGTGCTGATATGCTTTGACATCAGTAGACCTGAGACTCTGGACAGTGTCCTGAAAAAGGCAAGTGTTGGGGCTCAGTAGCACAGTTCAGTGTTGGAAGATGGTTAAGACAGAAACATGTGGTTGGCTGGGGAGCTCAAAGGCTCTGATGGATTCCCTACCTCATGTTTTCTAATTAAAATACTGGAAAAACACTGTCACCAACAGGTTTCCGAGCATATGCTTCGCAAGTTTTGAAAGTCAATCTTAATAGTTTATTTATAAATCAATTACTCTTTAAAAGCATCCACATTTCATTTCTGGAAGGAATAGTATAGCTAAAATAGTTATGTTTTTGTACTGTTATATTTATACCTACCTTCTTTCCATCTTTCCACCTATCCATTCTTCCTTCCTTCTTTCTCTCCCTCCCTCCCTCCTTCCCTCCTTAGTTGAACAGATTTTGTGCTTTAGTTTGCAAATTTACATTTGACTTCAATTAAAAGTTTGAACTAAATGCTGTAATAGCTATGTTAATAAACTTGTGTTTTAGTTAACATGTTGTTTGTTGTGAAATGTGCTAGTGTGAAAAGAATATGTCTGAAGATATGGTGCTATATGAATTGTGATCAAATATGTGTCAAATACTAACAAAGACCATACTTGTGAACATGTTATACATTATTACATGTATCAGCTTTCTGGAGGCAAAAGTGGTTAGGTTCTACAGGTAGAAAACAGGCACCTGAGGTAGTAGCTGTGGACAGAGGGAACAGGGAGAGGTCAAGAGGCAGGACAGCGATGGAAGATGAGGAAGGAGTCCTAAGAGAGGGGCATTCCTTAGCCTCTAGCCTGCCTAGGGCTCAGCCTGGGTGGTTACACACACTCAGCTTGGTGCTCAAGGCTCAGCATCCCTCTCATTTGAATACTGCGGTTTTCTGAGGCAGATCTTGCTGGAGCACCCTCTTCCCCATGCACTGGAGCATAGACACAGGTGTAGTTGAGGGCAAGGGGCCACCTGAGCGATCCAAACAGAGGGAAGGGATTGATGGCCTGTTATAGATGGCCTGGTTTTTTTTTTTTTTTTTTTTTTTTTT